AAAAAAAAAAAAAAAAAGTGGCAGGAATGATGGGATAAGTGCTTGAAGCCAGAAGTATTCTGAGGGGGATTTAATGGCAGTGTGTCTTTTAGTGTAATAGTTTTAAGGGGGCCGGGGAGATGGCTCAGTAGAATAAGTGCTTCCCTGGCAAGCGCAAGGGTCTGAGTTCAACCCCTAGTTCCATCAAAGGAAGGAAAAAAAAAAGTTTTAAATATTCGGGGGCCGGGGAGATGGCTCAGTGGAATAAGCGCTTCCCTGGCAAGTGCAAGGGCCTCAGTTCAATCCCTGGTTCCACAAATAAATAAGTAAATAAATAAATACAAAATCTAAATATTCACTCATATTTTGATCACACCTCAGATATTCCTTGTGGATGAAGCAGAGACTAATGTACATTTCTTCGAGTTTCCCTTCTTTCCTTTCTTCCTTCCCTTCCTTCCTTCCTAATTTTTTGAGACAGGGTCCTACCATGTAGTTCAGACGGCCCCTGCACTCACTATGTATGTAGCCCAGGCTGGCCTCAAACTTATGGCTATCCTCCTGCCTCAGCCTCCCTGAGTGCTGGGATTATGGGTGTGCCACCACATCCAGCTGGATTATCACCTGAGAAAACAGGCAAATCAACCCTATAAAATGCATTTATTTATTTTATTAATTAATTAATTTTGAGACAGGGTCTCATTATGCAACTCCCTGTGATCATAGCAATGGATTAATCCTCCTACTTCAGCCTGGGATTAGCACACCTGGCCTGCCTTTTATCTTTATACTCAGAAGGAGATGAAATAAGATATAATCATCCCTTTAAAAAAATATGGCACTGGGGCTGGTGAGATGGCTCAGTGGTCTAAAGCACCTACTCAGAACAAGCTTAGCAAAGCACAGGGATCGCGGTTCAATCCCCCAGCACCACATGCCAGCCAGCCCCGCCCCCTGGTGGGCTGAGCTGGCCACACACACACACACACACACACACACAAATAAATAAAATTAAAAAAAAAAAAAGTATGACACTGGGGATAGCCCAGCAGTATAAGTGCCTACCTAGCAAGTGCAAGGTCCTGAGTTTGATCCCTGGTACCAGAAAAAAAAAAAAAATGGTTTTTCCACTGGGGAAAGAGTAGTCACTTATATTCCCTGCATATGAAGAGAGAAGAAAAGGCTCTCCATTTCCACAGTGACTTGTCCCCGTCCCCCCCTCCCCTTGTCCTCTTTTAAATTCAATCTGATGGGCACAAAGCCTTACTTTCAGAAGTTTGTTAACAAACTCAGCCATAACCAGGAGCTGGCCAGTGGAACATAATACAAGTGAGGCCCAACTGCCTACTCAAGGCTTGCTCTTAAAATGCAGAAACCTTGGGGTTGGGGATATAGCTCAGTGGCAAAGCACCTGCCTGGCAAGTACAAGGTCCAGAGTTTGATTTCTGGTTTAAAAAAAAAAAAGGCCTTCAACTCACTACAAGGCCTAGGCTGGCCTTGAACTCACCACAATCCTCAGGGCTTAGCTTCCCTAGTGCTGGGGTTACAGATGTACATCACCACACTTGACCTGACCTATCTTCTGCCAAAGCCAAGACTGAACAGATCCAACAGAGTTCCAGGCACAAGGGAGATGGTCACCAGCCACAGAACTATTCTTCTCTCTCCAAATTTCCCATAGGTACAGATCACAACGGAATTAGACTATATACCCCAACATGTACTACAGCAGCTTCTTGCATGAAGTCATTTTAGAGCCATGAATGAATGGACTAGCCCAGCCTTCAGGAAGGTATCCTGCCTAACCTGAGATGTTTCTGGGTCTGATGAACTGAGGAATGCTGCACCAGACCCAGGAGTGCTGTTCACTGCCATCATTACACACAATGTGTCCAACTCCAAAGTGGCAGTGGGGGCTGGGGAAATAGCTTAGCAGCATAAGCACCTGCCTGGCAAGAGGAAGGTCCTGAGTTCCATCCCCAGTACCAAAAAGAACGAAAAACAAAAGTGGCAATGGCTTTTTCCATCAAAGGAAAACATATGCTTCTATTTTTAAAAAATTATTTATTTATTTTTATTTATTTATTGTGTGTGTGTGTGGCCAGCTCAGCCCACCAGGGGGCGGGGCTGGCTGGCATGTGGTGCTGGGGGATCGAGCCGCGGTCCCTGTGCTTTGCCAAGCTTGTTTCAAGTAGGTGCTTTAGACCACTGAGCCATCTCGCCAGCCCAAAATCTATTTTGGAAGAAGAGCAGAATACTCTCATTTTCTTTTGCTTTGTTTTTTTATTTTTTTGGTGGAATCGGGGATTGAACTCAGGCCCTTGCGCTTGCCAGGGAAGCACTTATTCCACTGAGCCATCTCCCTGGCCCCTATGCTTCTATTTAAAAGAGTGGCTCATACCTATAATCCCAGCACTTAGGACGCTAACACAGAAGATCACTGCATGTTCCAGGCCAGCCTGAGCTACGCAGAGATCCGGTCTCAAAAACAAACACCTCCTCCCCTGTAAATCCTCCTCCCAAAAGAAAGAAAAACTGGGGCTGGGGAGATGGCTCAGTAGAATAAGTGCTTCCCTGGCAAGCACAAGTTCAATCCCCAGTTCCACCAAAAAAAAAAAAAAAAGAAAAAGAAAAACCATGAAAACACAAGATACCCAAGACTTACCCTGCTATTCCCAAGAAGCCTCGCAAAGGCAAAACTCCCCAGATGACACCCAGGACCACAGCAATGATCTGTCGGAACCAGTAGATCACATCTAAAAATTCATCCTGTAGAAAAGATAGGGAGGCAATGCCTATATTACCCGGAGTTCGTGCCACAGGACAGTTATTACTGGGAAACAGAAAAGCTCGCTGCTAAATATATGACACTTTCCCCCATGGTATGTGGCTTTTGTATGCGCATTTAGTTGGAGTAAAATGTGGTTAGAAACAAATATTCAGATATCTTAAGTGATTACTTTCAGAACCTGTGTGCTAAGTCGAAGTTTTAGAGAAATCCTTACTTTTTTTAAGAAGCTGTGTAAAAAAAAAGGAAGCTGTGTAATGAAATGGCTGTAATAACTACTACTGGCCACAGATAACTCTTAGCTGACCAGAGAAGACCTAGACAGTCACTAGGGAAAACTGCTGATACCTACCTGTATCTCCTTTCAGTAAACTCAATTTTTAGCAATTTATTGAAAAAAGAAAGGATTACGAACAAAGTGCTGGAGGCAGATTCCAGCACATCTACATTTTATAGAACACAGAAAACTAAGGATTCCGAATTGCCTTGTACTCCAGAATCCAGTCCTTATAATAGGGGAGAAAGAAAAGAAAAAAAAGGGGGGGGGGGAGAAATGACACAGCAGATCACAAAGAGACTGCAAGTTTTGTAAGAACTGGGCAGGGCTGGGGGCAGGACAAGGGCACCTTCAGGAAGTGCCTCCCATCCCCCTTTACCGGAACTCACCCCAATTTCGGCAGAGTGGAAAAACTAAGGAAGGAGTGCAAACATAACATGCTCTTCTAGTCAATTGGAATCGAGCTGCTTGATCATTCCTTCCAGATCATGGAGCAAAGCTGAGGTGTGCCTCTGATCCTCTGATGCAAGAACATCCCCTCTCACACAAACTCGCCCTAGAAGTTATAACATGTCTTTCCCATTTAACAACCAAACGATGGCAGTGCACCATTAGCGAACTTCACTCTTGCGCCAAATGCTTTGCTGCACCACGGCATCCCCACTTCTGGGATGGTCTGGGAACTGAATTCAGGGGTGCTGTGCACAAACAGCACGGGGCAGAGTATTCAGTAGAAGTGTGGCACCATTACTGTTTGTGCTAAGATCCTACTGGGATAAAAGAAAACCCGATAGAACTCAGCTCACTCATGTCAAGTAGACAGCACCCCTAACCTCGAGGGGTCAATTATTTTGCTCCCACCTCCCCGCTTCGGCGCGACCTACGCGTTTCATTCACTCTTGGGCAAGCTCGCCAAGTTCGCCCCGGGGCCGCGATCTGCCCCACTACCGCACTCGGACCGTGTAGGGGTAGGCCCAGGCCAGTCCTCCCATCCCCCGAGTCCCAGCCGGATCCTCGAACCTGCGATCTTGCCAGGCCCACCGCACCTTGTCCTCCCAGGCTGCGTCGCTCCGCAGCACCTTGCTCCAAACAGAGACTTTGAGGGCCCCGTTGGCCAGCTGCGGCTGAGGCGGCTCCTCCTTCCGCCGCCCGCCACTCATCCTCCCGTCGCGCCGCCCGGGCCGGGCCTGGGGCGCGCGGGCCGAGCCAAAAAGAGTCGGGGTCTGGGGTCGCAGGACACGGTGAGCGGAGCAGCGGCAGAGGCAGCGGCAGCAACGCGATCAGTCCAGCGCAGACCCAGTCGCTCGGCTAAGCTCGGGCTCACTCCCTTGAGCTGGCGCCGCACACGGGACAGCGCCGCGAAGCGTCCTCCCGCCGACGTGCCCACGCAACCAATCGGCGGCCACGCAGCCGCCCCCCCTCCCCCGCGAAGGGCGGCGCTGCCTCGGCGCGAGGGGCGTGCGCATGGCGGAAGTGACGGCAAGCTTCCGCCGGGCGTGCGATAGGGTGCCCGGGGAGGGCCCGGCTTGGCGGGAGGGGCCCCGCAGCGCAAGGCGGCGCTGTGGCGATTGCGGAGCGCCGACTGAGGCCGGAGTGAAGGTGGTTCAGGCAGCCACGCCTCGTCCCGCCTTGCGACCTGCCCACCTGTAGAGCCCGGACCGTGCTCCCAGCAGCCTCAGCTGCCCTGCGGAATTCGGTCGCGCTGCCTCTGAGCTGCACCTTTTGTGGAGCTGTGTTCAGGATGTTAACTCTTCTCTATAAGAGCGCAGCTTTGCCCTTCCTAGCGCTGTTTTGACAAATGTGTGCGGTACCAGGAGGAGAAATTATATTATAAGGCAAGTTGGAACCAATTTAGGATTTCTTCAGGGGGAAATAGGAAAAAGTACTTTGTGACTGTTTATCTTTTGTATCCTCCCCATGTGCTAGCGAGGTCAGCGGGTCACAAAAAATCCGTGTATGTGTTCGTGGACCAGCAGCAACAACTTTATTTTTTTTCAGCAGCAGCAACTTGATAGAAGTAAAAATTCTCGGACCCCATTCCACTACGTGATTAGAAATTCTGGGGTAAGGGGCCGGGGAGATGGCTCAGAATAAATCCCCGATTCCGAAAAAAAAAAAAGAAAGAAATAAAAAGAAAGCTGGGGTAGAGGTCTTGTCAATTTTTTGTTGTTGTTGCTGGGGATTGAACTTAGGACCTGGCGCTTGCCAGGGAGGTACTTATGCAGCTGAGGTATCTTCACAGCTCAAAAACAAAAGCCTTGCTGTGGTATTCAGGCTAGCACTGAACTGAAGAGCCCAGCCTGGCCTTGGACTTGCCTCCCGTCTCCTGCTTCAGCCTCCCAGTGGCTGGCCTGCGCCTCCACACCTGGCCTTGTCTGTGTTATAGTGAGCCCTCCAGGTGGTGCTGTGCAAGGTGTTGCACAGTAAATTGAGAGACCAAGGTACATCACTTGTGTGCAAGATAATTAACCCAGAATCACTCCACTAGTACCTTAGCCTGACTCTAAAGTCTGTGTGCTTTTTATTATTTTTTTTTAATGTATTTAGTACAGGATCCACAGGGTCTCACTACACAGATCGGACTCGTAGTGATCCTCTGGTTTTCAGCCTCCCAAGTGTTGCAATTACAGGCGCACACCACCACATCCAGTCTCCATCACCCTCTATGCCGGCCAGATCTCAAATCACCCTTTCAGCACACCCAGGGGTGGGACAGGCACTGCATGCAGGGGATCAAACCTGGGTCCCTGTGAAGTCTGTGTGCTTTTAACTTGTAAACTTTGAGTGTTAAAAGTGTATCAAACAGGTCAGAATCTCCTTCCTATGCCTATCAACATTCAGTAGTTCTTAAAGTTAGCAACACTCTCCAAGGTAGTTTTTCAAAATATAATCCCTGATGTTTTCCAGTTTAATCCCACCCTTGAAATCTTTTTTTTTTTTTGAAATCTTGTTTCAGGAGAGTGAGTAGGGTGGACCATAAACTTGGCAAACCTTTAATGCTAACTTTCACAATGATTCTCCCTTCCCACCCCCTGCCTCCTGCAAGGGATTGAATTTGGGGCCTTGTGTTTTTATGCCACTGAGCACTGAGGTATACTCTTACCCTTCACAGTGATATTTTTTATTTTTTTTTCCAGCCTTGCAAGTTTTCAGAACCAGTTTCTCACCCATATACAACAGTAAAGCTTAACCAACTCATTCTGGTTTGGAAAATATTGGTACAAATCTCTTTTAGACTGTGTGGCATGTGCTTCTGGAGGTAAAATGATTATATCATACAGTATTGGAAGAATGCTTAGTCTGTGGTGCATGCTGTAATCCCAGCACTTAGGACGCTGAGGCAGGAAGATCCCACAAGTTTAGGGCCAGTCGGGGCTGCATAGTAAGTTCAAGACACTATGAACTACATAGTATCTCGAAAAACCAAAATAAATAAATATATAAATAAATAATGAGGACCTGGGGAGTAGCTTCGTGGCACAGTACTTATCTGGCACCCACAAGTCCTTGAGTTCAGTCCTTAGTACTGGGGATCCAGAAGAGGGGTTATTAAGGCTAAGTCATTAAGTGAGTTTCTAGGAGCACAAAAAAAATGGAGTAAATTGTATTAAAAAAGGAATTTTTTAAGGACTGTCTCCTCCTAGATTGCAGGATCCCTGGAAACTCCATCCCACCATCACAAAAAAAAGGCTTTTGTTTTGTAAGGGCTTGAAACTGAGCTATGTCTCCATCAGGCTTTTTTAAAAAAAAAAAATGTATTTAGTACAGGGTCTCACTACACAGATCAGACTTGTAGTGATTCTCCTGTTTTCAGCCTCCCAAGCACTGGGATTATAGGCTTGCCATCATGCCCAGTCTCAGTTGCTGTCTCAGCGTGCCCTGGGGGCCAGACTGGCATGGCATGCGGGGGATTGAACGCCAGTCTCTGTGTCTGCCTAAACAGGCGCTTTAATCCGCTGAGCTATCTGGTCAGCCCTTCCAAAAGGCATTTTTAAATTTTTAGGTAGGGTGTAAGTTGCCCAGAGTGGCCTTGAGCTTGCGATCCTTCTGCCTCAATCTGTCTAGTAGCTGGTGTTACAGATGTGTACTATTATGCTTGGGCAAGAGGTTTTTTTTTTTTTTTTTTTTTGTGGAACCGAGGATTGAACTCAGACCTTGCACTTGCCAGGCAAGTACTTATGCTACTGAGCTCTCTCTCCTTGGGCCCATGAAATTTTATTTATTTATTTTTTATTTTTTGGTGGAACTGGGGATTGAACTCAGGCCCTTGTGCTTGCCAGAGAAGCACTTATTCCACTGAGCCATCTCCCCAGCCCCACATTAAATTTTAAATTTATGTATTTACTTTTGTTTTTGAGACACTATGTAGTGTAGACTGACCTTGAATCCCGAATCCTTCTGCCTCCTTATCCTGAGTACTGAAATTATAGGCATGTGCTAGCAAGCCTGAAAAATATATTTTTTATTTAATTTTTATTTATATATTTATTTTGCAATACCAGGGATTGAACTCAGGACCTTGCACTTGTAAGGCAAGCGCTTATTCTACTGAGCTATCTCCCCAGCCCAATATTTTTAAAATTGTGAAATATACATAATTCTATTTTTTTTTTCAATACTGGACCTGAACTCAGAGCCCTTTATATTGAGCTTATTGAAAATAATTTGACTGTCATTACATCTGAGAATTTATTTTGGGGCCTTCTGTTGATTTGTATGGCTGCATTTTTTCCCCCAGTGTCTTGCTGGGATTTTTTGTTTGTTTTTTGTGGAACTGGCGATTGAACTCAGGCCCTTGCACTTGCCAGGGAAGCGCTTATTCCACTGAGCCATCTCCCCAGACTTTGCTGTGTTGATTGTTATAGCTTTCTAGTAAGTTTGAGATCAGGAAGTATGAATCGTTAAACTTCCAACTTTGTTCTTTTAATTGGTTTTGTTGAGACAGGGTCTCACTATGTAGTCTAGGCTGGCTTTGAACTCTTGTGTAGCTCAGGCTGAATTGAGGCTGACCTCAAACTCACAGCAATCCTGCCTCAGCCTCACCAGTGCTGGAATTACAAGGGTGTGCTACCATGCCTGGTCAATTTTTTTTTTTTTAATATATTTGACTATTTATTTATTTTTTTATTAGGCTACCTTTCTGTGTGTGTGTGTGTGTGTGTGTGTGTGTGTGGCCAGCTCAGCCCACCAGGGGGCAGGGCTGGCTGGCATGTGGTGCTGGGGGATTGAAATGCGGTCCCTGTGCTACGCTAAGCTTGTTCTAAGTAGGTGCTTTAGACCACTGAGCCATCTCACCAGCCTGTCAATTTTTTTTTTTAAGACAGGATCCTTCTATGTATTTAGCCTTGACTGGTCTCTGTCAGCCTTTCAGGTGCTGAGGTTTACTACATGTGCTACCACATCCAGTTTGTTCTTTTTCTTAAATGTTATTTTTATTTATTTGTATTTTAGGGGTTTCTTTTTGTTTTTTGTTTTTGTGTTTTAGGGAAGGGTCTACAGGTGTTCAGGGTATCACTACTAGATTGGACTCATAGTGATCCACCTGTTTACAGCCTCCCAAGAGCTGGGATTACTGGTATGGAACACCAAGCCCAGTCTCAATTGCCATTTCAGTGAGCCCCTGGCCCTACAGTTTGTTCCTTTTTTTTTTTTTTCTGGCAAAACTGGGGATTGAACTCAGGCCCTTGTGCTTGCCAGGCAAGAGATACTGAGCTATCTCCCTAGCCCCTTTAATTTCTTAGATTATTGTTAGCATATAGGGGCTTGCGGGTTAGCTCGGTTGTTTAAGCGTCTGCTCAGGCAAACCCAGTCAGGCGCAGGAGACCATGGTTCGATTTCCAGCTCCACAAGCCTTACCAGACTTGCCCTTAAGGCAGCCTGAGCCAGCAAAAAAAGAAAGAAAACTTAGAGCCTGGGAGATGGCTCAGTAGAATAAGTGCTTGCCTGGCAAGAACAAGGGCCTGAATTCAATCCCAGGTTCCGCCAAAAAAAAAAAAGACAGAAAACTTTATTTTACATATTGATCTTGCATCCTGCAACTATCTTGCGCTCTCTCTCTCTCTCTCTCTCTCTTGCGGAACCAGGGATTGAACTCAGGCTCTTGCGCTTGCCAGGCAAGTGCTTATTCTACCGAGCTATCTCCCCAGCCCCTGAATCTTTTTGTTTTAACAAGGTATTTTTGATGGTATCTTTAGGGTTTTCTACACATCTTTCTTGAAAGGAATCTGAGGGAGTTTTCTGTGAGTAACTTCTATGGGGGAAAAGAAGAACTAATTCTTTATGTGTGCTATTTGTATTATATTGAAAATCTAGCCTTGTTAACTCTGAGATTTATTTTTTTTTTTACATTTATTTTTTATTTATTTAGTGTGTGTGTGTGTGTGTGT